AGGAACCAAACACAATGGCGCCTCAGTCAGCTCTCTGTATTTGCTTGAGAAAATGTAAAAAAAACAAACAATTGTTCCAATGTATTTTGGGACTAAAACCTCCAAGTTTTGTTTCAGAATCATTTCCTTTTCGTCACTGGAGTCAGAGTTGAGTTTTGATTTGGAAGACTCCGAAATAAACTTTGATTGAGCACGCTCGACAACTGTGAACTCACTGCTTAGAGCTTTGAGAGCAATTTACAATATTTCAAGCGACGAAGGGGAAGACTCCTTTGCAGACGAGCTGCTTGTATATTAGGAATGGAAAGCTAGATATGAAGCGGAGGAGCAGGCAAACGAAAAGCAGGAAAGAAAACTCAAGGACTGCTTTGGATGGTAATTTCGTCACCTAAACGAAAGATTTCCACGCGTGTTTATAGCCCGTTTACATTTCTCCTTAGCAAGACTGTGTTTTGTCAAGGTATGATTGTTCTATTAAATTCAGTTTGTGTTTTACTTTCCGTTGAATAGACAAATTTGGCTAACTCACACGTGACTTGAATTGGGTACAACAACAACCAAAACAAGTGTGTACGTATTGAAATTTGGAGAAAATTAAGCCACGATTCTGCGGTTTTGTTGCACCAGAGACTGTCAGAACAGCTCCACTAACTGAAAAAATCTGCCGTTTTATGGGTTTCCGTTAAATTTTAAAAGTCTCCTCTCTGTTTGGATCGTGAAAATGAAAAGAGATCCACGATATTTCAACGTCAGTACTGCAGCGAACACTTTATATCAGAAGATTTTATTAATCCTTACTCTAGTAAAAATTGATTGAAGGCCGATGCAGTTCCTTTTTTTTCATGGGATAAAGATAAGCAGGAGAAGGTCCAAGCGGTGAAGAGGTACGCATCAGAAAAGATGAATCAAAGCAGAAAAGAAAATGAAGCAACGGATTCAGCAGCATCTGAAGGAGAATGTGTCACGTTGGTCTTGACTAGGGCTGGCGAATAAATTATTTCTCGAAAGAACAAACATCTTGAGGATGAAATCTGTAGCTAATTAGATGAACATCTTAGAATTCCCTGGTTACATAATTTTTCTGTATCCTACCTTCTTTCTTAATGTACAACCCAAAGAAAGAGGGAAAATTTATTACACTTTTCACAGTATTTAACAGTCATGGTGAATTCCTGAATATCATTACAATTTCTGTTGCCTAATCTAGACAGAAAAATGCAGATTTACTGGGATACTACAATGAGAAAATCAATTGTTATTTACACAGAGAAACTGCTCTTGAAATATACCAAGACTGGGGTAGTCATGTAAAGATTGCATCACTCGGGATATCTTTGATATCAAGACATGAATAATCATTCAATGATGATTGCAGTGTCCTCCCTCCCTTACAGGAAGAGCGTGTTTAATTAATTTAAAACTTCTGCCCTGCCATCGCTCTCCCTGAACATTACAGCTAAAATGAGGCTCTTCAATTTTTCTTAGAGATCTTTAGCAAGGTGCCTTGACATGGAAATCCTGCAACTACTGACACGTGTAAACATCATCAACATACCCTTCCCGAAAGAACTTATAGCTTTTCTCTCCAGCATTCTTTTTTCCGCCTTGCTCGAGCCACGAAGACCATGTTCTTTGACCCAAATTTTGGAAAATTTGATCAGTTCTATTCTTTATTGAATAGACAACTAAAGCAACGCACATGATTAACACAACAAATAAAGAAAATATTAAGGGAGCCTCGTTTTCACGCAATGTAGACACCCAATTCAATGTCACGTGTGTGTTAGCCGAATTTGTCTATGCATCATGACAATGTGAGATATCGAACCTTCCTGGGTAGACGTCACAAGAGCCACTGGACCCATTCTCCTCAAACTCAGTCGCGAAACAAAATGCCGGTGTTTTGGAGCTATTTTCGAGATTTCGTCAGGGTACAGAAAATCGAGGATTTGACCGAATCCAAAAATTATTTTGCAGAAGTATTTCCAAACAAGTAGATTCGTTTTAGCAAAAAAAAAATTGGGGTTAGGTGCACTTTAAGTCCAACAAAGAATCCCTGATAACATAAACAGAAAAAATAGATTTGCAGTCACATGATTTATTGACTTCATTTACCTTTAAGTTTACAACTCTGAGTTATGGTTTTAAAGCATTATAAATACAATATGAAAATAATCAAGAACTAAAAAGGCATAAAATACGGCATAATTGTGTTTGTTGTAGCAAATGAAATTGAAAGTACCATTCCTTTTGCATCAATAACCCTTAAAGTTTTGGAGGTATTGGAAATAAATTTACATTTGACATTTAAATAAAGCATCACATTTACAATACATATTTTGTATTTATCTACTTTCAACAAAAATTCAAATACATCTAAACTATTACGTTACTGCATTGGTAAAAAAAAAACGTAGTAGGATGACTGACACTTTCGAATGTAATGTTCCGTTCTTGATTATAAAAGCTTACTGATATTGCAACTCAGCCGAGACATACATGTCACGTATCCCTGTATCAAATCAATGTAACTCAGGAATCCTTGTTTCACAATAAGAGCTTTTTTTATGCACTGCAACAGCAGGGTAGCAAGGCAACACAAATAAGAAAAGCAGCTAAGATGGAAACAGTAGGATACAGTACGCAGCGAATTACAATACAAGGTAGGTTTAGCCTCCGTATTCTCCCAATCAGCTGGACAAAGTTAAATTTGCACGGCGCGTTAAACATTTCAGCTTTACAATATCGAGTACGTTGTGACATGCAAAATTCAAAAGAATGCACGACATAATAAGACGATGCTGTCCGAGTAAATATAGCGACGCTCAAAGCCGTCTAATCAATGTTTCAATAGGAAACAGAAACGTAATTTGCAACAGAAGTAGCTATTTTCATCGACGCCATTTTCGTGTAGGGATGCATTTTGCTCCCACCTCGAAAACAATAATACACAGCTTCCTTCCGCAAAGGTGGACGTTCCATTTCAGAATGCATCGTTATTTAGTCCGCTATTGCAAACAGTTCACTGCTTCAACTCCAACATGTACACAAGCTATCAATGTTGACAAGCTCAACTTTAATTTAAGCTTGAAACTCTTACCTGATCCGACATTCCCTCACCAACTGATGACCATCGCTGGCCGGAAAAATTGCCTTTGTCGTTTTCTGCAACTGTTTTAGAAAAGCTGGTAGCGACTCCTTGACGCTGGAAGAGGTAACTTGCAACTTCGCCGTTCGATTTTCCACCTACAATTTCGAAGCCACCGTTGTTCGTCTTCGATCCACCATTACTGGTGCGTCCTACGAGTTTTGGAGTCATACCATTGCTGTGGTACGCTCCATCTTCCCATCCAACTTCGTTCATGCCAAGAACACATGGAAAACTCATTGGACGGATCTAGAAGGAATAGAATATCTTCAAGCTCAAAAACGAGCACAATGCACTCCTAATAACTAAAGAACGGGGGTGTGACGTGCTGCGTTTGCAAAAACTACCAGGATACTAAACATTCATCTTAAAAAATAATCAGTGAGACATATACACCAATTATTTGCGGCCTTCGATACTACGCAATAACATATCTAGGACAAAAGATGATCGTTGAACTAACCGGATGCAAAAGGCCTATGAAAGAAAGGCCATTCTTGGCATGGCCGTCGCTTGCTGGCTTGTCAGATAAGGAGAATCCCATGACTCTTTGCGCGACGAAATATAAACACGTGGTTTGTTTTTGATTGCTTTGGCACACGTGCAACGAACTTCGCAAACTTTTCTTCGCAAAGCTGAGGTCAATCACGTAATTGCAAGAAAACTAATCCTTGACCTAGGTATTTTCAAACTTGAACTTTGTAATTCCTGTAGAAACTCTACATTGAAATTCAGGTGAGGAGTTTCGCTACAATATTTTTTCCAGTTTTTCTGCAATCTAGTAGCATGTGAAATTAATATTTAAAACACAGTGTTCTTGACATTTAAATTTCTATTGTTGGAGATGAGTTAAAATTTCGAATGAGCAAGTGAATATAATTCACTAAAAGAGGCTTTTTGTTACTGTGGGCTCTATCAGAAACAACTGATTTATGACCCTTATTAAATGATATCCTCGTCAGTTACGACCGAGCTCGCGGTAAAGTACTGTAAACAACCCTTGGAATGTCGCTCGAGGAAATTGTTCCATTATTCATACACTGCAAGAGGCCGTTCAAAGGCAATGCAGGAGTTTTTTCAAAAGAATTCTACACGTAGTGTGACCTTAGTGAGATGGAACAGAGAAACAATTTGCCGAATCTTTTTATATTCTTAATCTCACGAGTGTAAAAGCGCAATGTTGGGTATGTTGTTGGTGTTCTCCTTACTGTAGTATGTTCCTCTACTCCTACTGCTTCAAAATTCACAGACGTCCCCACGCTCGACACCAAGGTACTTACATGATCACATTTAATCCTGCCGTAAGATCTTGCCTTCCAAGGCCAATTGTTAATTTGTGGTGAAAATTGTGGCTTTCTTTGAAGTTTGCTAGTCATTTCATTTTTTGGTGGTCGGGACAAAGTTCCCTCACCAACAGTTGTGTGTCAGAGGAGCGAAGAGATGTGAATGAGGAAACCCTAGCCTCACTTTCACGTCAATTTCGCAGCAGCTCTACCCGGCATGCACTGAGCACAGCTCTCATGGATAGCGGAGTAGCTGGATGACTATGAAATTTCTCAGCTGGACACATCTAATTTCTCTCTTTCTTTTGGAGTTTTTCGGTTTTGGCGTTGACTTTGCAACGAACGTGCACACGCAACAGCATTCAGGTATATACAGTTTCACACAATTTCAGCAGAAAATCTGGCTTTCATAAGTTAAGCCGTTATCATCTTTATTGCAGCTGATTAGATGACTGAAGGAATTTTGTTTTTGTTTGCTTGACGTTACAGAACTTGAGTGCTTATTCACACGAAGAACAACGTCTTGTGTTTATTCACTCGTGTTGAACGACGAACGTCAAACCATATTACCTTCTTTTGTAGGAATGTTAGTAACTTTGATATGACCTGAACCTAGTTTTAAATCTAAGTAAGTTTTCTAAAACACTTGGAATAATTTGGCATTCTTGCGGCCCGCGATTTAGTGTCTGTATTCAAAGTCCTACCTTACATGTAAATTGTGGGACAGACAAGGGCCGTTTTCATGCACTTTGTAACTCAATTAACATTTATCCAGACTTTCTTATGCTGGTAATTCCTAGTCGCTTTGTAATTCTCTCTCCATTATAAAACAAAATGCGAAGAACTCATTAACTTATTTCCGATGATAATATTAACAGACCATTTTTCTCACTCACATTATATTAATGGAGCATCAACAACTTAACAAGTCTTGTATTTTATTTTCTTTTTCATTTTTTCTTGATCATTTGTGAAGTTTAAATAAAGTTAAATCGTCCGAAAACCTTTTCTACTAAGCTCACACAAACCCAAATGAATTCTTTGCTTTCAGCTCTATTCATAACTATTTTGTTCATATCGGTATTTGGCCACATTTACAACTTACCCTTGATTCTGGTCCTGGCTGATTGACAGCCACAGGAAGGGTTATAAACACCATCCCAACTCTGAACCAATAGTTTCTTTTCAAACATAGCCAGGATACATTGAAAAGAGAGTGAAAAGCACTAACAATGAAATTCTTGTAGCAAGTTCAAATGTTGTTTTCAAGAAAATGTTGACAGTAGATCAATTTAGGTGTTCTTGAGTTAATTAGTAATTAGACAAGTTTACAGTTTGAATTATAAATCAATGTAGGTGATATTTCATTGGTTTGTCCTCTATTGTGTTCACAGTTTGCTAATTTTGAATGTGTTCCACCTGCATCTGTTTTTCTAAGAAACTGATTGAAAAGATCACAACCTTTGTTATGACACACCAATTCCTTTTTGTGATTTTAACCTTGAAGGCCAATATCAACTGATCCATAGTTAGAAAAGATAACCAAGAAATGAAACATTTAAATAATAATACTAATGATGTGTTTCAATGTTGAATTAATATTATATTGTATTGGTTTCATTTCCTATGATGAATGTAGCTAATCTAACAATTCATGTAATTTTCAAGTCTTCTAACTAATCTTCAGTTAACAAAGAAAGTTTGACTATCCATGCCTATCATCCATGAAGCCTACACTGAGATGAAGGAGTTAGGTCATCAAAATGTTCCTCATGATTTCTCCTAATATTGGATTTTATTACCTCACTAGTAGATGGCTTATTATTACGTGTGCCATATGATTTCTAGAGGAATTGAGAGAATTTTTGTTGTTTATAATATTAGATAACAAAAATTAATTTTATTCCTTCAAGTCTTAGGTTAAATTTCAGAAAGGAGTTTCCATTGCAAAAGGGGAAGTTTAAGAGAAACAATTGATTTTTATAAACTTTTCCAGTTTTCCAGAGTTTTCCAGTGTCAATATTGTTTTGAGTCATCCCATACCTAATTCTGTATGTACGTTACATATACATGTAGATCATGCAGGCAACCAAATATAAGGTTAGGAAAGGTATGGCTAAACCAAGACTAGATACTGACACTTGCCCGCTTTCCATGGGAAAGTAAATTTACCTCTTGGAAAGTAAAAAATCAAAAAAGAACCAAAATACTTACTTGATCTGGGAAGTAAATTTTGGGCTATGCTGGAAAGTAACTTTTACACTAATCAGTGATGTTCCGTCTTCAAATGGTTGACTTTACACCATTCTAGCATTTACCAATCTACCATGTCAAAGTATCAAGAGAGCTGCTGAGAAGGTCTGGGTATGATAAATACACATGGTATGGTGCAATCGATACTGCACTCCATTTTGAAAAGTAAAATTTTGAGATGGAAAGCAGATCTTTAAATCTACTTTCCAAGGTGGAAAGTGGTGTAAATAGTGTCAAGTCCTCACCAAACAGAAACATTCTGCACACATGTAAGAAAACCAAAACCTTCCTTTAGCACAATGGTAGAGTAAAAAGATAAAAACCTATAAGAAAGAATAAAAAACTTGAACTTACTTGTAAACTACATGTAAATATCTGCTCAGCTGGCTTAGCAAAAGGAATGTTTTGAGTCTTGGTTATCTGATCAGAGAGTCTAATAAAGGAATTGAACTTACAAGACTGAACAACTCTCAGTCGTCTGCAGGGAAACATGATTGCAAAATTTGAGGTGTCTTGGGCCAACCTTTCAAAAAATAAAAAATTACATGTAAAAGCCAACATCATAATTTTCCATTTTATCTTTAAATTTAATTAATTTCATCCTGTGAAAGTTATTATTTTTAAAATCTGAAAAGGCAAATGGGTTTGTTTACTCAACTTAGTCTTTGAGTCAGCTCACATGCCGTCTACTAGCAATTTGTCAAAAAATCTTTGCAACAGGCGAGTTACTCAGATACTAAACAACAAAACTACTTTATTTTAGTTGCATTTAGTTCACCAGTTTAGTTCTCCAAAATAGTTTTTCCGGTGTGAAATTTTTTAAAAGTTTGAAGTTGTTCTACAAAAACAATTTCTGTCAGTCATTGTGAATCACTTGAAATCAGACTTTTCTACCATAAATTGAATAGCAGAAAGTGAGCAAATTCATTATTAATAAGTGTATTCCACAGGAATTCTCTTAAATACAGCAACAATCACAGAGGTAAACTCAACTCAAATATACTCAGTTTTTACTTAAAATTTTACTAGGAAACAAACACAAGACTACGTGTCATTACAGCGCCAAGCCTCAAACAACCAAATAAGACCAAAGAAACTCTCACAACTTCAAAACACTCAACTGAATTTACTTACAGTGACTTTTACTTTCCATTTAAAAGTGAATAGAGATAAACTTTCATTGATTAATCGTTGATGGAAGTGTAAAATAGGCAAAAGATTGACGATTACCGCTACTTCATTCAGGAAAATAGATCAACACAATGATTCGCCCGGCGGATGGGAAAATTCTGCCTGCTCCAGGAACCAATCAGATTGCAGAATTTGTTGAATTCAGCCTGCTCACAAACTGAGGAAAAAAAAAAGAGTTTCATCACAAGTCGACCCTCTGCTGAAATGAAGCAAATTTTGAAAGTAGTAAAAATTTGTGAATTTCAAAACAGAATAGGCCAATTTTGATAATTATTCTATCAAAATTCCAACTCGGCTCTGAGGCTTAGGGGAATGAAACAAAAGAAATCGCATTGAGGATAATGGATGAGTAATTAATTTCTTTTGTTTTATTCCCCTAAGCCTCAGAGCTAAGTTAGAATTTTAATATATCACAATTGGCCTATTTCCCAGTCATTTGACAGTAAATACGGTCAGTGTTAAAATGAAAGGAAGTTCAAAGGTATAATTAACTTGAAGAAACAACCCAACACCAACATTTATACATTTCAACATGTATGCATCACATGTAGTGGACATCCAACTTCTCATTCTTGTTTTGTGGGTAGGAAAAGTATACTAACGTAACTGAAGTTCGACAAAGTATGGTTAACATTGTTGACAATTCTTCGTTTGCACTGTCATGCAATAAAAATATAATTCGAAAACCATTCAGTGGATAAAGTCGAGAAATTGTTGTGTTATAGAAGGTAAAAAAAGACATTTCTCCAAGTTTTAGGTCTGTGTGTTTTCCCAAACTTCAAGTATTTTTCAAAATATTTTGCTCAGATTTACAGAGCCGAGTATGGAGCCACCATGTTGATGCCCCTCCCCAACAATATTGTTACCATTGGAAACAAAGAAAGTTTCCCGTGGCAACACCTAATGCTGTGTGGATAGCCCTGTAATAGACTAGCATCCCATCCAGGCAGGAGCAGAAAAACTCTTAGACACTTCATGCAACATAGAAGTTGGAGATAAGCATTGCCTAATGGGCCACTTTGCTTGTATGCTGACTTTACTTTTTTCAACCTTTAATGTGATTAAGCCTTATAGTTGTCCTGGTTTTGGTGCATCTCTGGTGTAAGCAAACTCTCAATCCAGTTTCTATCTTGCTCGAATGTAACAGATTTGAAGCACATCTCTGGCATACTTGAATGATTTGTCAAATCTTTCACTAGACTATAGGTGACAGGTTTCCAGTGCATCTCTTCTGTACACAAACCCTTTCTCAGGCCCCTTGCTGGCTCTCAGTCAACATATTTTGAGTGCATCTCTCATATTAATGGTTTGTTACCAAGTATTAGATGCTAGCTTGCTTGCACATCTCGTGTAAACAATTTGCTATCCAGTCTTTTGCTCACTCACTGCAAGTTTATTTTAGCACATCTCTTATGTACGCCAACTTTTTTCTGGTGTCTTGTTTGTTTATTGTCAACAAGTTTTTAGGGTAAATAAACCTTTTCCTGTCTTTTACTCAATGATACTCAACACAGATTCAGTGCATCTATTGCGTAAACACTTTTTATCGGGTCTCTTGCTCACCCACAGTCAACTAGTTTTTAATCGCATATCTTGGGTAAAAAAAATTTTGATGAAGTCTTTTGCTCAATCCCAGTTAACACGTTTTTAGTACGCTCTACTTCAGCAAGCTTTTCAGCTAGTCTCTTGCCCCCCTCGTGGTCAAACATTTTTTTAGCCTGCACTCATCTTTAACACTGACAGTTGAGAAGTTGTTTGCAGGTCTCTTGTATAAAATGAACTTCCTACCAAGTAACTCACTCAATCATTAACTCTCATAGTATTAAAAAGTCAAAACTCAGGTGACCTTTTCTTTTATATCATGTTTAGTTGCTTTTCTTACTGAATCTAAAAGTTGAATGCAGGGGTTTCATAAAGGGCTGGTCACTGGGCAAATTGACCAGCTGAGAGGATGGTTTTGCCTGCCTGGTTTGACCATGTAGAGGAAAGTTTTTGTTACAAAGAAATTCAGTTCAATAAGTTTTGCCTGCCAGTGAAAACCAGTTGGCCCACCTACTGAAAACAGTTATGAAATCCCTGTGAATGTAACATTGACAAGAGTTAGCTGTTGGTCATTCCTTTAATTTATAAGATGTAGAGGATTTTAGAAGAGTTCATTTCTTCAGGACCTTCACTGTGCAATGTGTAATCAGCCTCCAACTAAGTAGGGCACAGTGGGTCTCAAGAGAGCTGCCCTACAAATCTGTTCTACAGCTGGAATTGCCTATTGCAAACTGTCATCACTCAGACTCTAGTATGACACTAGGCTTGGTTATCAAATCTATGAACAAATGATTGAACAAGTGCATTTGTCAGTTACAGTAGAGCATGTCTCATAAATTATAACCCTTTGATGAGGCTGTAACAGACTTTTCATATTGCATTCTTTCCCTTATAATCCAGGTTCCAGTCACTCAAAAGACAAACTAATGACATTTTGTTACGAATCAAAATGTTCGAAATATAACACAAGTCTTGAAGCAAATTTTCAAGATCTGAACTATTTTCTTTGAATGAAATTTTGAAAGGACCACACAGTAAATTTCACAAAATTTCACATCTGTTCAGTGAAGAAACACTGGGCATCCGAATTTTGTTCAAGATTAAATTCCAGTTGTTTTAGTTGAAACCCCCCTGAATGTGTTAAAATGAATATGTAAAGCTAGTGATTGAAAAGGTATAATACAAGACTGTCAGGGGCAGAATTGACCAAGGAATGTATTTTTTTTTTAATTTACAGATTCTTTACTTTGTAGAAAATGTGGACATGACATCACAGTGGCTGCAAACCTCAATAACATAGGCAGTAAACTTGCCATTCGACAGAGGAATGACACTATACTTGGAGTCAAGCATTGTCTTATTCAACTCTTCAAGAATCCTCATGGTATACTGTATTGTTGAGATCGTTCAAAGAGACATTTGTGTACGGTGTATATTAAATATAATTATAATGTACAGTTGACTATTAGTTTTTGCATCTCGATCTTTCTGTAGACTGGCTGTCAATTCTATCAGATACAAGCATTCTCTCTGAATGACATACAGTTATTATTAGCTTTCAAGATTAGATATACCAGTAAGTCATTTCAGCAGTTTACCATTCATTTCATCCTGACATGAACTGCTTTACATATTAAATATTTTTTGCAGGTCAGCATTTTGAACTTGTAACAGCCACCTCTGCAAATATTAAAGGACATGGTGAGGTAGGCCACGAATGATAAACGGCCTTTTTTTATATTGTCCATGTCTGGAATGTGAATGATATAAAGGAGTTCCTTAGTTTTGATGCAGTTTTATGACTGTTAAAAGTGAATATGCCGTTGATGCCAATATTCTGCATTATCCTGGTTTCTCAAACCTCTAAGGGAAGCAAAAAGAATTGCTTTTATTAAAAAGTTGGGAGTTTGTGAAGGCAATGATTATGGAGGGGATATTTTTGAAATTTGCTCAATTGCTTACTGGTAGATTTTTTAACATTTTATCTGTTGTTTTATATTTCTCCATTTAAAAACAGTATTCAGATCTGATATAATTTTGATAACCCCTTGCCATGTTACAGCATACACACTCTTCTGGATTCAGTGACCAACAGAGAAAAATGTTGTAGACATCTTTGATCACCTGAACTGATCAATAATTAAGCAATAGAGCATTTTTCCATATTTATGTAGCCTCATCTAAACACATGGGGGGTTTAGAGAATTTGAGACAGTTTTGCAGACCTGAGATGCGGTCTCAGGTTTACCTAACTTTTGAGAATTCTCCCAGCCCCAAAGTGTTTAGATGAGGCTATGTAAAAATGGAAAAAGCACCCTATTGCTTTTATAAAATGTTTCTCAAAAATACACGTGCAAATCTAAAACGTCACAACCATGTTTGCACACTCTCATCAAAACAAACGAAAAATGAGAGCGCAGGTATTACATGTATCTCGTTTATTTTACAACATGCAATATAGCAACATTCCACAGAAGTTAATAGACAGTATCAGATGACAGATTTGTTGTTTGCTGTCTTTTTTTATTTGTATATTTTTTATTCATATAGATACTGGTATTTTTATATTTTTATTAGGGCACTTGCACTACTTGTTGTTTACTGTTTACATTTGCAAAAAACAAAAAAAAACAAAAAAAAAATAGGGAAATCAACCCAACATCTTTAATTCTCTGGGTGTGTATTCTGCTTCGGGGGGGAAGGGGTGGGGGTGTTTCAGAGCACCACTTGTTCAGCAGTGAGTGAACATTTGCATTATACCAATATTGTAGTATAACTTGAAAAAGAGTGGCAGTATTGATCCATCAAAGTAGCACTGCTGAAAAGTGCTGGAATCACAATAGCCACCACCTAAATCTTTGTACCTTAACAATGTATTTAGTGAAGGGCAAAAAGGGATTCCATAGCAATTCCTTGCTTGTTCTTTTTCTTGTTTTATTTTTGTCATTTATAAATAGATTTACAACATACAAACTACTTTGAGAGACTACTCAGATCTTGAGTACATATGGAGTTTAATACAGCTCTGTTTCACAGGCTAACAAAGTTAACCCACTCATCAGTTAGTTTCCATATACATTGAAACCTATGAAAATACACTTACATATTTACAAATACATATTTACAACATATCAATGTATAAGGCAAGGAAGCTCAGGGAAGCCAATAAGGCTTATGTAAAAGACTACCTTACAGATACTTGGTGTCAGAGTGCTGGACTATTTGCCATTTGGGATCACTTTAACAAGTTGAATTCTTGCATTTTGATTGTTCTTACTTATGATCAATTGGAGGACAAACCCATTGATGACATTATAAACATTTTTTTGTTTAATTCATGTAAAGCAAATAGATTCCATGTTGCCATGTGTCTGTTCACTAATACATCACAGAAGACGTTAAATCAGTGACACATTTGGCAAGCTTTGTGTGCCACTTTTTTGTTCTTACCTCATTTGACGTCATCTGTGATCAAGTACTAAACAGTAACAGAGAATCTATTTGTAAGTTGAATATTAAATATTTCCATTTTCAATAATTTTTTGACAGGCCTTTGAAGAGCATTCTTGGTTTCCTGGTTATGCATGGCGGATAGCTGTGTGCCCACAGTGTGGTGCCCATATGGGATGGTAAGACACCTTAGTAAGTCTTGTTTTGTGAAGTATATATGAAATAATTCATATTTGAACTGCGGTTGTAGATGAGTGTAGATAAGTCTTGTTTTGTTATTATTCAAGGCTGTGCAGGACCCTTGCCTATTGCTGAAAACCTGGTTAGGGTGTCGTTCCATACACTTAAACCCTTTCTCAATTACTGTCCAACTTTTTAAACTATTTTTCTGCAACTGAATTTAATAATTAAAAATTACATTTTATAGTTTACTACAATGCCACATTCAATTACAGGTGTTCAACTATTAAAATTGTTATAATATAAGTTGTAGCCAGTGTTTGTTTTGTTTTGTCATATATTTTCCATTTTTCTCGAGCAATTTCTTCTTATTCCAGTCAAAAAAGTTTTTCAGTTTCTTATTTCATTAGCAAAATTCTTTTGAAGTGGCTTAAGGAAGAGTTAGTTTCTCTTTATCGACAAGTCCACAAATCTCCTCCCTTAAATCCCATAATATCATCATGGTGTACAAGCGAGAGGCTACAGATCAGAGTCTGATGTTCTTCATAGGTGACGTAACGTAAACCATCGCTGATTGAGTAAGTCAGTAATTAGAATACTGCTAGACCTTTGCATAAGTTTACTCTCTAGGATGAAGTCGTCTAATAACATGGTAACCGTGAATATACTGGTATGTACTGTAAAATTCCAGTCATAATCCCTGGGCTTAAACAGCTTCATAAGGGGTTTGAGTCGGCTAATAAACGGAGGGGCTTATAAGCGGCTTAAAAAAACGTTTCGAGGTGAGCTGTGAAACCAAAATTCAACAGCATAATTCATTACATGTAAGCCAGTATTAAATGTTGAAAAAAAAAAAAGTAAAGGAGGGCTTATAAATGTAATAGTTTTTTTTTTGTTTTCATATAGATGGGCCTATTACCGGTAGGACACATGAAAGGGGAGGGGGTTTATGGTATATATACTCACAAAAATTTTGTGTTTTGTTTGCATCAGTTATTAATAGTTCATGTATATATATTTAAAATAAATTAATACATACACATCGAGAGAAAGCATGGTCCTGCACAACCTTTAAAAATTAACGTGAACTTCTTTTTCACTTGTACATACCCACACTAGCCTGTGAAAAACAACTTGTAGGTTTGGTTAATTCTTTTTTCTTAGGTGTGTGCATTTCTCTCCAGGTCATTTGAGGATGATCACATAGTGGGCTATGAAGAAAGCAAGAGTAAATACCTAAAGAATCATGATGATCTTGCTAATGGAAAAGAAGGAGAGAAAGAAGAATCCCCAGTGAAAACTTATTCTTTTGTGGGTCTCATTTACCCAAATCTTATTCCAGAGCATTGTGAGTTAAGATTTATCTACTCGATCAGTCAGCCTGTGTTGTTTGCAATGGCAACATTAAGGTGGGTGAACACAGTTTATGATAGCTGTGTTTCACTTACCGTTTGTCTGAAACTGTTGATCTTTGGGTCCCCTGAAGGGGCAAACTAAGCGCCACTGCCCTGGCAACATGACTGGACACTTGCTAAAAGTGAGAATGGAATCAATTCATTTGAAACTGCTCAAGAATACAGGAAAACAATCCAAGTCCAAAATTCTCAGAAAATAACAAAGTGAACTCCAAAAGGGCAAGAATAAGAGTGTAAAGGATTGCAGGATGTTTCAGCCTAGTCACAAGCAGAGCCAACTTGTTATTGTTCTAAACCTATTTTTTTTAACTTTGTGCAGACTCAGCTTAGAAAAATGTTATTTAACTGGAGGAATTCAGGTGCTAAACTGCATTTCTATATAAGCATTATTTTACAATCCAAATAATTGGCATTTTGGTTTAGGTATTATAGTCAGGTCATTGGAGTACCTCTCAACACACACTCTGTCTTTTGGTTGTCTCCGCTCAGGCAAACACGTGTTTTCTGGTGTGAACGAACTCTGTTCAAGCTAATTTATGTCTGTTTGTTTCTTTTACAGATGCAGACTCATTAATAGTGACGCCTAAAGCTTACAGAAGTTAGATGTCTTAGATTTGTAGCTACCACAATTTTAGTAGTTTCTCAGTTTTTTTTAGCAGTTAAAGAAAAAATTGTATAACAACTTTTCCTGCTTTCCGTTTGTCTGTTTAACAAATAGATTCCATGTTGCCGTGCGTCTGGTCAGTAATAGATCACAGATGACGTCAAAATGTGGTAAGAACAAAAAAGTGGCACAC